CCCCTCAGATTATCTCCGCCATTCCCGCATTTCGTCAGGGAGGGACAGGAGATAAGAAGAATCACCTCGAGGCAGTCACCATTGTATCCCTCCACAGCGACAGCAGTCCGTTCTCAGGCGGACTCAGCACAGGCAAGGGTCATGGTTCGAAGCTGGCAACTCTGGCTCTCGCCGCGTCCGCTCGTCCGGACGGATACCTCCCACGAGCCCGCCATCCTGGCGGCGAACGACGCCGCGCGGTTCGAGTTCTTGCAAGAGGGCAATCGCTGGGTGGTGCAGGAGACGCATTTCATCGACAACCCGATCGCCAGGAAGGGGCTTTCGGGGCCGCAGCTGTGAGCCCCCGCTTTTTCTCTTCATGCAATGGAATGTGTGTGTGCTGATACTCGCAGACACATCCACCTCCGCCAAACCGAGTACTTCCAAGTCCAACAGGGGGTGCTGGGCATCTACAAGAACGAAGTCGAGCACGTCCTGACGAAAGCGGATGGCATCGTGCGGGTCCCGGCGGGCACGCGGTGAGTCGTTCCCCCTTTCACCCATCCCTTTGAACCTTCTTCAGTAGCAGAGCTGTGGCGATGCGATGCGATGCGATGCGATGCGATGCGATGCTCATCATGCGACACTACAGCCACCGCTTCTTCGTCCACGCCACCAGCACCGAAGACGTCGTCTTCCGCGTCTGGGCCGACCCCCAGGACCTGGACCACAGCTTCGATGAGAACTTCCTGCGCAATTTCGTGGGCTACCTGCGCGACTGCCAGCGGCATGGGATCGCGCCGTCGCCGCTGCAGATCATCCTGTTCGGCATGAACAGTGCCACCGTGCCCTGTCTGCCGTTCTGGGTGCCGATCTGGATTCTGCGCGCCGTGGCGTATGTGTTGGCGTATTGGGTGGCGGAGGGGTTGTTGGGGTAAGTTGCATCGCTCGTCTTTCTGGTTCTGTGAGGTTGTTTTGAGGTGAGCTGTGGTGAGGTGGTTCTTGCTAACTCTTGCTGTGTTGGGTGGGGAGTAGGTATCAGGCGAGTTATCCGGAGTATAGTCGGAGGAGTGGTCGTCATGATAGGGGAGTGAACGGGGCGGCGGGAAAGGGAGAGCATAACAAGAAACGGAATTGAAGGACTATATCTTATACGTTCATGAGACTATTCACAACAGAACACTGGGCGTCAGGTCAGGCCGTATACACCCGTCATTTGCATTTGCATGTTGATCCAGATAAATACAACTACTTCAACTTGGCCATCTCCTCCACGATCTCCCGCACGCCCGCAAACGCCAGCTCCTCCATCGTCTCCTCCCACAGCAGCTTCGCAATCTTCAAGCCCTCGGGCTGGTAGACGATCGGGGCGAGGGGCCGCAACCGGGCATCCTCGAGATACTGGCCATGGACCTCCTGGCCGAAGCAAGCCGCCGCATGAACAAAGGTGCGGGCGCCGACGGCGCACGAGCGCCCCAGGATGCGCGAGATGACAGCCCAGGCGTAGCCCTCGACGCGGCCGGCGCCCTCACGCCCGATGGCCGACCCGTAGCACATGCCGCAGTTGGCGCTGGTGACGGTGACGGCGGAGGCGGGCACGCGCTGGGCCAGCTCGACGAGGAAGAACTGGCCCAGCAGCTTGGACACGCCGTAGCGCTCCTGCATGTTCCAGGCGGGCTGCATCGGGCGCTGGAAGGCGGGCAGCAGGGGCCGGCTGCTGCGCTCCCGGAAGGCACTCCACGCCGCCGTGTCCGAGTTGACCAGCACGAGCCGGCCGGGCTGCTGGGGCCCGCGGCGCTTCGCGTACAGCACCGGCAGCAGCAGCACCAGCAGCAGCCCGTTGGCCAGGTAGTTGATCTGCACGCCTTCCTCGTAGCCCGTGGTCGCGTCGAACTGCTCGTCCACCTTGTACACCCCGGCGTTGAGCACGGCCATGTCCAGGTGCGGCAGGCTCTGCGCGCGCGCCGCGAAGGCGCGGATCGACTCGTACGACGCCAGGTCCAGTCGCCACACGGCGATCTGCTCGGCGGGCAGCGTGGCTGATCTCCCCTCAAGAAGATTGCGGCGCGCCTGCTCGCCCCGCTTGACGTCGCGCACGGCCAGGATCAGCTGGCAGTTCAGGTCCAGGAGCTGCCGCGCCGTCTCCAGGCCCAGCCCGACCGTCGCGCCCGTCACGATGGCCACTTTGCCTGTCAGGTCGACCTCTTTCGGGCTGACTGGCGGGGCGGCGAGGAAGAATTGTCGGTAGAGGAAGTGGAGCTTGCTCGCTTCCCGCTCGGGGGTGATGTCGAAAGTGACGGCCATGGTTGGGACGGTGGTGGTGGTGGTGGTGGTGGTAGCGGTACTGGTGAGTAACAAGGGTCAAGAATCATCGAAAGGGAAACTAGTTCTGGGCCGATAGATTTATAATGAGAGATATTGGGAAACAGCAAGGTAAACGAAGGATACGAACAAGTGCCTCGGAGCTAAGAAGTGCTTTGTTCGTCACTGTGCATGCATGCATGCAGGGTGGCCGGTGGCTCGGTTGGTTATTTAGTTTACCACTGTAATTCGTTAGATAACATAAATACAAGTTGATGACTCTCTATTAATCTTAGGGTTGGTCATTAATTTTGGCAATTTGCAGGGCGTAATGGACTAAAAGCTCACTAGTTAGTTAGCTAATTAGGTCTATATATTTATAAGCCCTGCCTTACCCGCCACATGACGACGCATCATCATCATGTGCCGCCCGCATCAGCCACACTTCCTATCACTATCAACGACTAAGCAGAAGCGATGCTGTACAAGAAAACACTCTCCCGCCATGGCTAGGTCTTACAATCTCCCATTGTGTCAGACGAGAAATCCTTTGAGCCTTCAGGCCCGCAAAGCAGCCGTGAGAGTGGAACAGGCCTCCGAAGGATCCGAAGCTCTTTCTCTGACCGTGTCTCTAGGCTTCCACGAAGCACCCGAGGGATCCGAATTGGCTTCAGAGATGATGGAAACTAGCTTATGAGATTACGAGGTCGCCGGCTGATACGGATGGGCAAAACTTTTGGTTTGGGGGCCGAATAAGAGATTGAAGCTGGAATCGGATTCAAAGTGAGTCAAGTATGGTCATCTGTAGGCTATAAAAGGACCCGTAGGGTGGAAGCTTTCGACATGGGAGCAAGAGGCGCGCAAAACATCGAAAACTTCCAATTGACTGTTTTCATATCATCATGTTCCGTACGATTTGGCCCTGGATAGGGCTGCTGTCGGCAACCTATGCCGCTCCTCAAGCGCCCATTGATTTCCCGACGCTTCTCGCGAATAAAACCAACCTGTGGTCTCACGGCACGGTGGTGTCATTTCCCGAGAATGCCTACTTCGAGAATGCCACCGAGCGCTGGACCACCTGGGCGGCGCCCAGCTACTTTGCTGCGGTCAGTCCAGCTACCGAACAGGACGTGGTCACCGCTGTATGGAAGCCTTCGCTCCCCAGAACGAGTCACCCGTGCTGACCGCTACTCCTGCAGATCAAACTGGCAACCTCCGCAAACATCTCTTTCCTGACCACTGGCGGCCGCCATGGATTCACGGTCACGTTGGGGGAGCTGGATCAAGGACTAGCAATCGACCTTGGCCAGCTCGATTCCTACCATATTGACTCGACCGCCGAAACCGTCACCATAGGCGGGTCCACCACCATTGGTGACCTGCTGGAACCGCTCGCTGCGGCAGGGTTCATGATTCGTAAGTTGTGAGGCCATGACTTTTGTGATAGGGGGGAGACTGACTCCTGATGGACAGAAAGCGGCTCAGGCTCATGTCCGGGATACGTCGGTCTGACTGTGGGCGCGGGGGTCGGACGGTACATGGGCTACTTTGGCCTGGTGATGGACGGCCTGCTCTCCGCTCGGATGGTGACGGCGGACGGCAGACTGGTGGAGGTCTCTGCCACCAAGAATCCCGATCTCTTCTGGGGGCTGCGAGGCGCCGGCGCGAACCTGGGGGTCATCACGTCCGCCACCTACAAGCTGCACCGGATGTCGGACCACAACGACGGCATGATCATGAATGCCGACTTCATCTTCCCCCTCAACCACACCGAGGCGTACTTCCGGTACCTGGCCACGTGGAGCGGACGCATGCCCGCCCACGTGGCCGCCATCACGCTGGTGAACTATAACACCACCACTCAGGAGGTGCCGTCCCTCCTTCCCCCCCCCCCCCCCCCCCCCCCTAGCTTGGTCACCACTAACCATCCGCACAGCCTCAAGTCCACGCGAACTGGATCTATATCGGCCCCGAGGCCGAGGCCCGGCAGTTCCTGGCCCCGATCCTCGCGCTGCACCCCGCCTCGTCGACGCTGACCTACGTGCCGTGGAACAAGCTGCTCGCCACCGCCGGCGGCGCCGGCTTCAACGACGCGCTGTGCCAGAAGGGCGCCAACCGGAACTTCTACACCGTGAACCTGCGCAAACTGACCGCGGCCACCTTCCAGGACACCTTCGACCAGATGGCGGCGTTCTACGCGGGCTACCCAGACGCCCCGTCCACGTACATCAACATCGAGACGTTTCCGAACCAAGCCACCGTCGCCGTGCCAGACCATGCCACCGCCTATCCCTGGCGGGACGCGATCGGCTTCATGTAAGTTGGCAGCACGCTTCGCTTTCCCGCTTTTCACCTCAGGAAAACGAGCTAATTTGCTTTGGCATCTGCAGCCAAGTGGGCATCATCCCGGACGAGGGCGCCAGCGCCGCGACGCAGCAGGCCGGCGACGCGCTGGCGCTGCGGCTCCGCCAGAGCTGGGTCCAGACCTCGGGCTACCCCGACCTCTCCATCTACGTCAACTACGCCCACGGCGACGAGACGCTGGAGCAGATCTACGGGCGCAGCAAGTTGCCGCGGCTGGCGGCGCTGAAGAAGCAGTGGGATCCCACGAATGTTTTCGGGTATAATAATGCTTTGCCTACGAGTTATCACGGCACGAAGCCGTGATTGGTCTGGCCTGACGCAACTGAAAGTCAATCAACTAAGATGAACAGGGGGATGCTGGCTAGCCTGGATATAGAGATGGATCACAGCTTTGTGTTATCGGGGTGGACTGATTGTGATTGTAGTAGATATTTTCGTTGCTATTTAGTTTAGAACTTTGTTTGCCAGCACTAGGCAGGTATGCACGCATGCTCCGCTGGTAACAGCGAAGAAATAAAATTGGTTGTACGCAATTTCTGGTTATCGGTAATTAACTCTGTCTAGTCATCAACTCCCCCTGTTTATCTTAGTTGATTGACATTGAGATGCGTCAGGCCAGACCAATCATCCCGTCCGGCTCGTCATCGCTCGTTGCCTGCATGCCAGAGTGCCATCTCAACGTGATGAGGAAATTCCCGTGACTCGACTCGAGGGCTCGATGGGAGAACAATCTTTTTTCTGCTTGATTGCATCAATCATCGTATTCCTCTCAAGGAAACGTGCCCGTATCCCGTCCCCGAACTTGGGCAACTTCTCGCGCGACTTGGAACGTACTATACTATACTATACGAGGTTCAGGATCGTGTATGTACAGTATATTCCCCATATCTCTGTCTGACGGCAGGTAGACCTAATTCCAAGACGCGGGAGGGATTCACAGTAGTAACGGCTTCGATCATGTTAAGGGTAAAGTAGAACCCAGAAAAAAAGATAAAATAAAATGGAGGAATAAAAAAAAAAAAAAGAAAAAGAATACCCTGGTAATTCATGACAGTCTAGTCTAGCGTGTCTGCACGATCCCTGACGGTCCTCAACTTTGGGCAACTTTGGGCGGGCGATGGCGCTAAGGCTATTGTGGGGTGGGATTTGTTGACAGGTTGAGTCTCTCATTAGAATACAGGCAACTTTGCGCGTGTTGTGCGGGGGAACTGCGCCCCGGTTCTACATAGTACATACTCAGTAAGACGCTAAAAAAAAAAGGAAGAAAGAAAAAAAAAAACAAAGGCAGCTCAACTACGGAGTGGGGCTCAGTGGGATTGATTGGCATTTGGCAGGGACATCTCGGATATAAGCTTTGCTTTTTTTTGCATGCAAGATAACGGATCGTCCGCAAGTTGGGCAACTTTCCGCGAGAGCATTGCCTTCAAGATTAGGGCTGGCCGGTTCGGCCTTTGCCGCCTGCCGAGATTCCCGTCAGGATTCTGGCCCCCTTCGCTTGGAGGGGATGAACTTTCGGCAGGAATGAAAGGAGTGAAATCGAGAAGAGAAAGAAGAGAAAGCAAAGAGAGAGAGGAAAAAAAAAAAAAAAAAAAAAAGGAAATTCTAGGAAAGAAAATTGACTAGCTCCAGCTGAGTCGCTGCTTGGAGGATTAAGGGCATAAGGCAACTATTCGCGTTGTACTCCGTACTGGTCATGCCTACAAGTCCAGCCCAGTCCAGCCCAGCTACCCGGGCCAAAGCTAGCTCCCTGTCTGCAATGCTGACCCTGCCACGAGGCCCTTGACTATCCTTCTATCCTTTAAAATGTCATCTTGACAGGAGGTTCCACGCTCAGTCGCCCGCGAGGATAAACTCTGCGACCACTGAAGCCGAATTCTAAGTTGCACATCTGAAGATATGGCCACTATCAAATCCGAAGCGATGCCGCAGGCCCAAGATGTCTCGAGCAAGGAGGACTTTTCCAACAGCGCTTCGTCGGTCGTTGAGGCTGGGCGGCAACCCGAAGAAGAGCTTATTGCCCCGGTCCGAAATGTCCATGGAATGAAGGTATGGTGTATGCCCAGTGCAAGTGATCGAACCAGGGGCACTGATGTGTGGCTTGACTGTGGTAGTGGGTGCTGGCGTACGCTTCTCTCATTTCAACCGTCCTTTTCTACTCCCTTGATGGCACCATTGTGAGACAACCCAAAAATACCTTACCATCCGGTGCGGTCGGTATTGACTTCACTAGGTCGCCGATATCCAACCGTCCATTGTTGCGACTCTTGGGGAGAGCGATAAGTTGCCCTGGATCGGCGTGGCCATCGCGCTGGGCACGATCGCCATCCTCCCGTTGGGCAAAGCCTACGGGATCTTCAATGCCAAATGGCTGTTCTTGTCGTGTGTCACAGGCTTCGAAGTGGGCAGCGCGCTCTGCGGGGCCGCGCCGAATATGAACGCCTTGATCGTGGGACGAGTCATCCAGGGCGTGGCGGGATGTGGCTGCTATAGCGGTGCCTTGACCTACATCTCCATGACCACCTCCAAGAACGAGCGCCCCCTGTATCTGTCCGGGGTCGTCGCCATGTGGGGTCTGGGCAGCGTGTTGGGTCCCATCATCGGCGGCGCGTTTGCGCAGAGCAGCGCGACCTGGCGCTGGGCGTTCTACATCAACCTCGTCGTGGCGGCGCTCGTCGCCCCGGCCCTGATTCTCTGCCTCCCCAACATCAACCCCGTGGACATGCCTTTTCTGCAGAAGCTCCGGACCCAGGACTGGGTGGCCATCGTCGTGTTTCTGGGGGGCGCCGCGTCGCTGACCATGGCCATCACCTTTGGCGGGGTCACCTTCGCCTTCCAGGACGGCTCCGAGATCGCGCTGTGGACGGTGACGGGCGTGCTGCTCGTCGTCTTCATCCTGGTCACCTGGCTCCATCCGCTGGTCCCCGCCGAGAACCGGCTGTATCCGATCCACCTGATGAAGCGCCTGGAGATCAACATCCTGCAGTATGCGATCTTCGTGGCCTCGGGCGCCATGATGATCACCTTGTATTATACCCCGTTGATCTTCCAATTCACCCGCTCCGACGGCCCGTTGTTGGCCGGGGTGCGCCTCCTGCCCTTCGTCTGTCTCATCGTCTTCTTCGGCATTGTCAACGGCGCGCTCATGCCGAAGTTCGGCTATTACATGCCGTGGTATGTCTTTGGGAATGCCATGATCCTCATCGGGTCATCGCTCATGCGTGAGTTCACGATTGCCTCCCAAACTCCCGTTCCCGTTCCTGTAACTAAGTTTCCTTGCCTAGTGACCATCGACGCAAATACTTCAACATCCCGCATCTACGGCTACACCGCGGTGATTGGCGCCGGCGTGGGCTCATATGTGACGGCCGGATTCGCCGTGGTGCAAGCTCTGATTCCGCTCGCGGACATGAACAATGCCGTCGGCTTCATGGCAATAGGTGCGTTGGAGGAGCCACGCCCAGTGAAAAAAACAAGACGCAACTAACCAGAAAACCCCGACGCGAGCAGGTCAAATGATGGGTCAAATCGCTCTCCTCAGTGTCGCCGCATCCTTGTATCAGAACATCGGGGCCAACAAGCTGCACGATCTTCTCCCGACGTATTCGCGCGCCGAAGTGCAGGATCTCACCACGGGCCGACAGAGCGCGCTGTTCCAAACCCTGAGCCCGGCGCTGCAAACCCAAGTCATCGCCGAGGTCACCCTCGCCATCCGCAATGTGTTCGCCATTCTCGTGGCTGCCTCTGCCTTGGGGTTCATTGGTTCGCTTTTTCTGAAGGTGAGTGTCGGTCTGATCATACCTTTTTTTTTTTTTTTCTTGCTCACATTCTGACTCTCGGTGGGGTGGGAAACAGCGCCACAAATTGTATTAATTGCGGCTTTTTGGGAGGGGCCTTGGTTATGATTTTTGGAGATAGAGAGAGAGAGCATCAAATTGCCGAGTTAGACCTTAGTGTGATATCCAATTAGAAAAATATCAGAATATCATCTATCAATCACGTACTGAAATTCTATACACACGACTCCTGGAGTCCTTCACACATACTGGAATCCTTCACACACACTGCAACCCTGCACACATACTGAAATCCTGCACACACGAGCTAAAGTAGCGTCGGAACCCAGCGGCTGAGTGCAGCTTCCACCACGTGGTGTCCATGGTTCAGGGGTGGGATAGGTGCGTTCGTCAGGGACCCGCTGATCGAATACGAAGACTGCCGCCGCATCCATACCATTGAATATACAATTGGAAGTGCCTGGATCCCAGAGGATTCGTGGGTGTTGCTCGGAGGATTGCCTCGTTTTGCTTTGGTAAAAGCCGCGCATTTGCTCCATATCACTCCATATCAGACGAGGTAGCCTTACGCTAGACTAGACATGAACCCACGTCAGACTGTCTGATATGGAACCGGATCGGACAGTGCCATGACTTCGTCTCTGCTGACGCACTCATTCCTTCTTCCTTCAGACGGGCTGACGTCCACCCGAGAATTTCAGCCCCCACGTATTCTTACTTTTGTTGTTTCCTGTCGAACTTTGGCGAGTGCTTCAAGATAGACCCGCATCCGAACATCCGTATGAATTGCTGACGCCTAGTAGTGAAAGGCTGTGCGCGCGTTTTCTTCATCCGGACCTTCCACTTTGAGTCAGAGAAGCCGAGAAGAAGGATGCGCCATGAGATTGCGAACCGCATCTACCGTCTGCCTCAGACGAGCGCAAACTGCGTAAGAACATATAGGAAAATCCTCCTGGTCGGGAGGGTATAAAGTCCAGCGTTCGCCTCACCCCTGCAGTCATGTTCAGCTCCAAGGCATCCTCGTCTCCTCCAAGAGCACTCTCCTACACTTTTTTTCTTCTTGTATATCCTCCAAATCATGAGACTTTCCCTGAGTCACATGGCCTGGGGCCTGGCAGCCCTGGCGGTGGCGGTGGTGAGCGAGCCGGTCCCGGTCCCTCACTACTTCCAACGCGAGGCCCTCACGCGGCGAGACTTGTCGGTCTCGCAGGTCTCGCGGGAACTGGGCGCCCTCGTCTCGAACACCACCGCAATCTTCGGGCCCTCGGATCCCCGGTGGGAGAATGCGACGGAGCGGTATACCACGTTTGCGCCGCCGACGATCGAGCTCGTGGTGCAGCCGGGGCTGGAGTCGGACATCCCCATCATCGTGAGTGTGCTGCGCCCGAATCAATCGAAAACTACCTAGTAACGAGAGGATGCAGATCAAGTACTGCAACCGGAACAGCATCGAGTTCATGGCAGTCAATCGGGGCCACTCGCTGACCATCACCACGGGTCGCTTCAAGGGCATCGAGATTGACATGGCTTCCCTGCGGGACTATACCATTGAGCCGGACTTCCAATCCGCGTGGTTTCAGGGGGGCAGCTATGGGGGATCGGTGATCTCCAGCCTCTGGGATCAAGGCTATGTGGCGAGTGAGTGACTCTGTATCCTCCGATATTTCCAGTGGGCTAATCAGCTGCTTCGGTTTCAGCCACGGGCAGCTGTACCTGCGTCGGACTGCTGGGACCCGGTCTCGGTGGCGGCCACGGGCGCTTTGAAGGGCAGTACGGATTGGTCAGCGACAACCTGGTGAACCTGAACGTCGTGCTGGCCGACGGGTCAGCCATCCAGGTCAACGCGACGAGCCACAGTGACCTGTGGTGGGCGCTGCAGGGCGCAGGCCACAATTTCGCGCTGGTGACGAGCTTCCAGATGAAGATCCACCCGCGCAAGGTGGACACCTGGCACTACCACAACTACGTCTGGTCGGGCGACAAGTTGGAGACGGTGTTCGAGCAGCTGAACATCTTCCACACGAGCGCGAACGGGACGACGCCGGTGCTGATGGCGGTGAACTTCGGGGAGTTTGGGATCGAGGCCAACTACAGCAGCACGGAGGCGGTGCTGGAATGGAGCTTCGTGTACGCGGGGCCTGCGGCCGACGCCGAGGCCCTGCTGGCGCCCTTCAACGCGATCGAGGCCCTCTCCGAGGAAACAGGCGACGTGCCCTACCCGGACATCGCGGACATCCAGGGCACGGGGCTGAACAGCGCCGCCTGCGTCGCCGGCTACAAATGGGCCCTGCGCACCGCCGGCAGCGTCGACTACAACATCACCGCCGAGCGCCAGATCTACGACACCTTCAACCGCAAGGTCGCCCAGTACCCGGACCTGGCCCTCGGCGCCCGCGTCACCCACGAGGGCTACGCCAACGCCGCCATGAAACAGGTCGATGCCGCCTCCACCGCCGTCTCCTACCGCGCCGAGAACCATCTGCTGTATATTGCGGTGGATATTCCCGAGGGCTCCAATCTGACCGCCGCGGCCATGGAGTGGGCCGATGAGACCCGCGCCCTCTGGAATCAGGGCCAGCCCGGCCGCCAGCCCTCCACCTATGTCAATTACGCCTTTGGGGATGAGCCTGTGGCCTCGATGTATGGCTATGAGCCGTGGCGGCTGGCCCGGTTGCGCGCGCTGAAGCAGAAGTATGACCCCCACAACCGGTTCCGCTTCTATAATCCTTTTGTTTAGGCGAGGATGTTCTGTGAAACGGTTGGGTTGAGGTGGGAGGGGGGGGGGTTAGATCGTTCGATAGATACTTAGTAAGAATATCTCTTTCTCAACTCCTCACCACATGGTGCCTTGTGGTAATAGTAAGAGTGATGCAGCCCTGAGAAAAGAATCTATTGCGGCCTCGGACGGTTCAGGGGCGGCAGCCATGATCAAAGATCAACCCTAATGTAATTCCACGCAGCGAGAATCATGACCCATGAATCCCAGGCAACGATACCAACAAATCCAAGTAATTTGCGCGTAAATTGTACTGTACCATCATGTGATGCAGTCCAGGAAGCAAGAGCGGCTCACTCAACTAAAAACCATGGCCAAGCATGGCGCCCCAGTTCGAGCTCGGCGGCAAATCCTCCCTGCCCCCCACACCCCCCACATGGCGCCGCTGCAGCCCTGAGTCCAATCGAGAAAATGGGCAACTTTCCGCGATACTATAAAAAAACTAACCACCTCCGGATTTCAAAGCATTTAGGATCTTTGTTTGGATTCCATGGCTTGCCACCACTGACTGTGGCCTACCAGGCAAGAACATAAATGGGCGAAATGCCCGTCTAGATCTTGTCTTGACCTTTTGTCTCTTTTTAAACCGAACCAGTTCATTCTGTCCCGCGTCTGAACCAAGCCGCTCCCAAATATGCCGTCATACCTTGTCACCGGAGCCTCTCGAGGCATTGGCGTGAGAACTTCCTCGCCGATGATCCATAGAATGCGTACTAAAACATTTGAAAGTGGGAACTCTTCCGCCAGCTGGCGAGCAATGCCGACAACACGGTGATCGGTCTGGTGCGCAACAAGGCGGAGACCGAGAAGAAAGTCACCGACGAGTTTCCGGCCGGCGGGGACCGTCTCCATATCATTCAAGGGGATATTACCGACTATGCCTCCCTTCAGGTGAAGATCTCCCTTGACTTGATCCTCTCCCGTGACTCCCTGGCGCGCGCACTGACACCCGTGCTTCCTTACTAGGCCGCAGCCACCGAAACCGCCCAGATCACCGGCGGAGGGCTCGACTACCTGATCGCCAACGCCGGCGTCGTCTCGCACTTTGACGCCTACGACCCCATCGGAGTCCTGTACGTTTATACCTCTCCATCGTCCTTCTGTTGCCGCTCCAGAACTTGAAAGATGGGTCTAACAAAGGGCACCCCGCGCTGCAGAGGCCAGAACCCCACCGCACTCGAGGAAGAGCTCACGCACCTATTCAAAGTCAACGTGGTCGGCAACATCCACCTCTTCAACGTCTTCATCCCGCTCATCCAGCGCGGCACGGCCAAGAAGGTCATCGCCATCTCCAGCGGCCAGGCGGCCCTGGACATGATCCCCAAGCTCAAGATCGAGGTCGCCTCGCTGTACGCCATCAGCAAGGCGGCGCTCAACACCGCCGTGGCCAAGTTCGGCGTGCAGTACGCCAAGGAGGGCATTCTGTTTCTGAGCGTCTGCCCCGGGATGGTGGATACGGGGCATTATGTTGATGGTAAAACCCCTTCCTGCTTGCGTTGTTGATTGGAGGATATCTTGAGCTAACGAGGTGATGGTTCAATAGCGACCCCGGAACAGATGCAGGGCCTGATGGCCATGCTGGGCTCCTTTGTCGAGTATGCCCCGCATTTCAAGGGGCCGGCGACCACCGAGGCGGCGGTGAAGGATGTGCTCGCCGTGGTGGAGAAGGCGAGTGTCGAGAAGGGGGACGCCGGCGCCTTTGTGTCGCATTATGGGAATCAGCAGTGGCTGTAGATTGGTTGCTGTGTGTATGATTGGGGACCGGCGCGATCATGCCACTCGGTTACGACGCCAGCTTTTGTTTGCGCTTATCTATCTCGGTTGGTCGGAGGGGCAATGCGATAGATATTAGTTCTTGACGCTTTTACAACGGATGAAATTGAAACATGCGATGGCGAAATGCTAGAGGTATAAGAGAACTTGTAGAGTACGGTGTGTAGGAGGAGATTGGCTGTGAAGAATGTCCTGGGTAGGATACATACTGTGTATATTCGAGGTCGAGGAAAGTCTCTCTGGTTTTAGGATGAGTGATTGGTTGGCTTGTGTTGATTAGAACCCGGTACAACAGAAAGTGTAGCGATGTTGACATATCTATATATATACCTTGTGATTGAAAACCCAGACAAACCGACAGTGCTTACTTTGGTGATTCCCTCAAACTTCATGATTTGTATCAGTATCAAGGATATAGAGAGTATTTAGTTTGCGCACATTTTCAAGAGCCTATTTCTGTCATATAAGTTATTACAGTAAGTAAGGGAGCTGCTCGAGGAGTACTGGCTTCTCCTCGAGTCGAGTGCACCTGGATTGTTCACGTGCTGCCCTCAGGAAAGCGGCGGCACCTTGATCGGATTTATGCAAACGGGCGTCCCACACAACAAAACAGTTCACTAATACACTATTATGACAAGTCTTCATGCAGAAGGGATTCCTGTTGTCAGATCTTGATGATCAGAGCGCAGGGGTCTCTTCTACTTATAGGCTCTATATGGCTTAGAGTTCATAGGTGCAGTACTCATGCCGTGTATCGGTACGGAAATTAGCATAGACAAACGAGTTTCTTCCGCCATCTTCCGTTATGTCACATTGTCGATACTATCTTCACCTTCACGGGTGCTGCCACAGGAATCAAGATGTTGGACGTTTTGCCAATTCCCATGGATTACGTACTGTACGTGACTTGGTTACCTTTTTATTAGTCAATTAAGGTGAGGTGGATTAGTGCTTATGGCAGCAATCAAAGAGCCTCGAACCTCAACCCTCCCCCGCTCCTCCTCCTCCTCCTCCTCCTCTTCTTCTTCTTCTTCTCACCCTCATCATCACCAACATCCGCATCATCCTGTTACTGTCTATTAGTTTTGCCACGGTCGCTTGTTCCTTTTTACCTCGAATTGAGAGTCAATAAGATGAGTCGAAGCTGCGGGACGTGCCGTGGTACAGTATACACCGCTACAACTACTGTCTACACTTCCCCGCGAATGAGTGTTAACTGCTAACTCGGTCACAATTCACCCGCCCTAGATCGGCGAATATCTTGCGATCGGACCGCCCCTATCTGCCTCCAATGCGCCCATTCCAATCGAGTCTGCCAAGGATATGGCATCCGTCTGTCCTGGCCAAAACCAAAGGATCGAAGACGAGCTATGGTGGGCAAGCCGTCATTGAAAAGTGAGGGTACTGCGCAGCCCTCTGCCCACGTCCGTTTGGTCAACTTTTCCACCTTCGATATGAACCTACATCACCATCTGACTGGCTCGAATTCATGCCGTAAGACCCGTTCACTCTATCCCAGCCAGCTCGGCGAGGAATGCAAGCTAAGTGGGGGAAAGACTCCGCACAGCTGACCCTACGGTCACCGATGCCTTTCAACCCGAGCCACTTGGACATTGCGGAGAAGGACCTGCTACAATATTGTAGGTGACGGTCTACCTACATCCCTGTGCGCTGCGCGCCAGGCTTGAGGAACCAATAACCAATACAACCGCAGTTCGTTGTATCGCCTCCCGCTCCCTGACAACTTTCACGCATGACCCGGTGGATTTGGGGAATATCATTATGCATTTGACCCTGCTCAACGACTCCCCCTCGGCCGCCGCAGTGCTCCGTTCTCTGCTCGCCCTGTCGTCCGTACATCGCGATGGGCTGCAGTCGCAGGCGGCAGGTCTGAAGATATCTGCCCTCAAAGCGCTCATCGCCGCTCCCAAGCATGACATCACCGCGATCGAAGCGGCTCAACATGTTGCCGCCGGGATGCTATTGTGTTCCTTCGAGGTCTGTATTTTTGAATCTGATCCCTAGGCTCAAGGGGTCACGGAACGGATGCTTATTCGACGTCATCACCTAGATCCACCGGGCCTCCTGCACTTCCGACCAATGGATGACCTACCTCATAGGGGCGAAGCGCATCATTAAAGCCTCCTCTCTTGAGTCATCGGGCGAATTCGGACCTCTGATAGACTGGGTTCACTACCACGATGTTCTCTCGCGATTCAGTAATATTCACTGGCGTCCGAAACTAGTGGATGTAGACTCTCCTTCCTCGGAATCCAGCGCAGAGGTGCGTAACGATGTATTTCGCCTTCTCTGTATTCCATGGACATACTAACGCAGATAAGACCTTATCCCTGTCTCCTGGGATGCCTTCTGTGCACAACACCCCGCTGGCACTCCTTTCCGACATATGCGATGCGGTGTCGGCCCTTCTTCCCGATATCATGCTCACCGATGACCGGGATGATCACCAAGCGTTCCTGAAGACCCTCGCATTCCGCATCCGGAATATATCCTCTACGGAGATCTCTCCTAGTAACAGCCGGAGTCGAACCATGACTGCACTATTTCAGTGTGCCATGCTCGTCTATCTCAATCGCGCGTCGATGGATCTTCTCGAGCCAGCGGCAGAAACTGAGCGCCGGATCCAGAACGCCTTTGCCACGTTTACCCAGCTCGATGCGTGCGAGCGACAATTTCCGCTCTTTATTCTGGGTTGCGAAGCACGAAGTGATCATGAGCGGTCAATCGTCCTGGATTTGATCACAAGGACGGAGGAACACGCTTCGTCCCGGTCTTTGTATCTGGTCCGGAAAATGATCGAGGCGATCTGGATCCAGGACGACCTCGCTAAGGGAGAGATAAACTATACGAATAAATTGACCGCTATCATCAGCTGTTGTGCGATTCTGCCTACTTTTGTCTAGACTAGATTACTCTTCTGCTTCATGAGTTTGATTAACAGGAATAGATTGAGAGGCTATAGGTCTCACTGGTCTCTACCCGTGACGAAGGCTTCAGGCTAGGTGGGAACGGGACGAGGCTAGATGAGCATGTATTCAAACAGAGCTACTGCCTATTGCAAAGTTAGTTATCGTTGGTTCTAAATCTTACTCCAACTATCAACAACAAAGCCAGAGAACAATCAGACCGCTAAGGCACCTCAAGGGTGGATGCCCGACAGGCCGCCAAGGAGCCCGTCAGTTTCTGTTGAATCAACTATACTAAGAAATGCCAGCCATATCGTGTGCTGTATGCACCCTGTAATGCCTACATAACAGACCTATCAACGTAACTAAGTTGTCTTTGATACCGCGAATGACTTGTAGATTTACCGTAGGTTTAGTCATATGATTAGTGTTCTATACTATATACTTAGCAATCTGTATTGTTACCGGACTTGGCCCAGGCTCTCATTTCAGGTACTTGAAGTATACTTGTAGTATCCGAGCATTCTAATAATATCTTCCTTTACCATTCATTCTTAGTAAATGTTGATATATATGAACCATCCTATAGTCCGGTTGAAAATCTCGCGGATGAGAGCGATACACGAGTTCTTTTTCTGTAGACAAACCGTAGCTTGGTGTATATGCCTTTCTCGTGCAGGCGAAGCGGTGGGAGCGATGTCACAGTGGTTTTCATTGCTTAGCAATGGGGGCACCTGTTCTGCCCACCTGACGGTTTGAGCAGTATAAGCAGAAGTAACGGCACCGGGGTACTTTTCTCGGAATGCGACGAACTAGGTCATGTACAAATTGATTTGTGCGTTTGATTTGACTAACTACTTGACATCAATTCGATGAACAAATTCGGAGTGGGAAACCAACGCGCTCTTACAACCTTTAGAATATGTACTGTATACTAAGGTAGGTACTCCAGATATAATCAGACTTTATCCTGTTATTGGATCAGTGGAAGAGGGCAAGTGTCTCGACTGGGCTTGCATCCAGTGCTGTTGTATGCTTTGCTTGCTAAGCACCAATCAGTCCCAGCCGCTGGCATGTACTGAGATACCACAACCCGAGACTCCTGAGGCACAGAGAGCTGTCCAAGCCCGCTGCTAGTCCATGGAATTGACGTCCAGGCATCTCGCTCGATGGCCTGATATCCTCATCCCACAGGTTATAAATCTTAGAAACTTTGCAATGTACGACACCCCTACAGACCCTTTCTCTTTTAGCACTGATGCATTCACGATCTGCAGATCACTTCAAAGTTCCGATGCTCCCTCCATATATGAAGTGATGCTAAACAACAATCACAATAAACGATATTGCTTAAAAGGGGTACGTGTTCGACTCTACGCCTAGTAGGTAAATCCTGACTCAGTTCACAGTACTATGATAATGGCGGCCCTGGTTCTTCGAAGAAGGGCCGCGACCTGCACGGGTTCCGGTGTGAATTGAAGGCTGATAGAACCTGCAACTCCATGGAGTGTGTCAAGACGGCGTGGGTCCAGATTTTTATGGTTGTTTCGACGAACTGGATCCAGCACTTTATCGGTCCCATCTGAAGTATTCCGAAAATAACGCTTGCAAGCCCAAGGCAATCATGCTCGAATGTCTGCCTAGTACGACAGGACCCAATTGCCCGAATTATTCCGGAGGGGTTTCAAACGATATTCGTAAGGCTCATGTTCTTCATCATGAGGCATAGCCCAAGAATATCCTCGTGGTGCCCGGAAACTCCCTGCGAGTGTGTCTGGGTCGAGTTTGATGTTGCTATAAGTTAGTTATCTGGATGCTCCGGACCTATGGCTACCCAGGCGGGAATGTCCCGCGAGTTTGAGACCGACCTCGCGCGAATGTTTGAACATCTCTTGGTATGTCGAATGGGGCGAATACTAATCTTAATAGCAAGAAATCCAACACAACATAGAGAGAGGTTCAAAAGCAAGGTCTCAGCCAAATACCAAATACTATTGACTTGATTCCGTTCGACGACTAACTTCCTGCGGAGTAGAAAATGTTGGTGGTTGTGTTTAGTGGAAGGCGGTCAGGGGTGGCCGGTTCTACGTGACCACCTCTACAGTACTCTAACATACGCCATTGTGGTGAGTTCGACTCAGTTCTACTGGAAAGAGACAGCTTTCCATCATCTACTGCCAGAGAATGGTTGAACTGTTGCGTCTTTTTTTATTGTCTAGATCCGAAGCTCAATACCAGTATGGAGAGATATTTTCCCAACTCGTTCCCCCACACGAACTGTAACTGGTTAGTGCCGGTGTCTCAGACTATGAGTAAGCGGATTTGAAACATCTTGCGGGTTGTGGCGTTCAAGAAAACATGAATGGTCCGAGCCAGACAGCTGCATCCTGAGCATAATTTGGCTCTAATGCATTCTCTGAGACTCGGGTGTGCATAAGTTTATCCTCCGGTATTCGGGAGAATAAAGCCAAGTGCTTAGTTATGTTGAGAACGTTTGGGGTGGATGAGATGGGGCTAGACTGTATCTCGCAAGGCGTCTGCGCCGGCGGCGGCACTGATCGAGTCCAGGGAGTAAGGTGCGCACAACCTGGGTATGAAGCGTCTAAGCATAAATTCCTCTCACTTGTGTCCGGATAGTCGAGTCTTGGAACCAGAGGCCCAGGATCTTCACGGTGGCTCAACTGCCGGGTCACTTCAGAACAAACTTCTAGGGACCAGAGTCAAGCAGCATGTTGACCATGATCCAGGTGTGCCCGCTCCACCCTCCGGTGTCTGCTCGTGATGAGAGGCCAATGGCTGCCCCAAATCAACTTTTGCCTCAGTCGCATTCTCCACGATTTCCTGCCAAAGAATCTCCGTTCGAGATTGGCTTGCACGACTATCGCGCGGGCACGCGACCCAGAGACCGAGCCATTTGTGCTTGTGTTGTCCGACCGTCAGAAAGGCATAACCCGCTAATTAGCGATCACCCGGCATAGCCAGCTTCATCCACGGCCGTATTCGTATAGCAAGCATAGAGGGGCTGTGAGCCTGTGACTGAGAATAAGGCAGGCTTGGGTGGAAACTGGCGAGGCTGGAACGGAGGAAGAGGGAGTGGAACAGGGGTTCCGATGAATTTTAGTTGGATTAGTCCAATAAGACCAAGTAAGGATTCCCACTTGGCAACTGCGCCGACCGGGAGGCTAGTCCCAAGTAGTCCCAAGTAGTGCCAAACTCGCCGCCCTCTTGAATCTTGAATTAAGAGCAATCAGCCTCTCTCTTGACTTATTGCTGACGACGACCGCCCAGTCAGTTTCGGTCTTTGACCACCACCACCACCACCACCACCTCACCTTTTCTTCCCTTACTCGACCCCACCCTCTCCCCCTTATTCCTTTTTTCTCGCTCCTTCGATCTTTCATCGATCTTTCATTCAAGTCTCTGCCTTCATTCTTCTTGTTTCCGCGTGTTCGTCGTCATTTTGTGGAACTCGGCTTGCGCCCGTGAACACCAAGCGTCTTGTACTGTTTGTACTGTACATATTGTTTCGCCAACAACATCATCGGTCGGCGTTGACGGTTTGAGCCCTGCATCCGTCCATTCGACCTCTGTATATACATATACTTTTCTTTCGTTTCGATCTACCAACGGAGACTAGCTGCAACAAGGGTCTTTCCTGCGAATAGGGGTAGACCACGCGACACGCACCTTCTCTCGGGAGGAAACATTGCACAGGATCGACAAACCGCATTGGAACGCCGATGCTAGGCGCTTGAGCCCCGAACTCGACAACGGTTTCCCTTCTTCCACCCATCTTTTGTACCACACGGTCGCTGGGAGTCACCATGGCATCGAGCAACGAATCGACCTCGGTCGACCTGGGGAAGCCCCAGTTCGCTTCTCACTCATGGGTTGAGCCGATTGTAAGTGCTGCTTTGTTACTGTATCACCTCGCGAAGTGATCCTGACTCTTGACTCAGATAGTCGTCAGTATCATGCTTAGCTCGTTATACTTCAACCGTCGCCGGGACTTCAGCATCTTCGGCAAAAACAACAAGCGGGATCTAGGATCGTCGCATCCGTTATACATGAAAGATGAAGAGGCGAATGATTCCCTGGACAATTTATCGGAGGGGGAACTCAATGGACAATTCCAGTCGGGCCCGGGAGTCGACAACAACTATCCTCCCAAACGTCGGAGTTGCCTGTGGTTCACGGTCAAGACGCCCAACTCGTCTCGCTTCGCCCGCCACTTCCACAGCCGCATCCTGCAGAAGTTCCCTTTCCTGGTTGAAATGTTCTACTGGGTCATGAACTATCTCTTCTACTCCTGCACCAAGGCAGTGGCCCAGTCCCTGTCTCCCGCCGGTCGCGACGTCGTACAACTTGCCCAGGACCATGCTGTCGGAGTTCTCAACCTGGAGCACAACTCGTTCTTCAGCATCTTCTTCCCCATCGAGGAGGCAGACTTCCAGGCCTTCTTCATCAACGGCCATCCGAACTGGATGACTTTCTTCAACCGCATCTACTCTCTTGTCCACATTCCTGGAACTGTCGCGTAGGTCATCCTGGTGACAATCAATGAAAACATTTGAAGACTAATGTGCTTCCCAGTTACCTCTCGTGGTGGTACTATGCTGCCCCCGACTTCGAGCGCTACGCCCTCGCTCGCCGCACGATGACCCTCGGCAACTTCATGGCCTTCATCATCTTCTGCTTCTGGCCCCTGATGCCGCCCCGCCTGCTGCCCGAATCCTTCGGGTTCCACGACACCGTCCGACAAGAGCATGCCGAGAGTGTCTGGGTCGGCGGCAAGATGGTCAACCAGCTGGCCGCCATGCCCAGCCTGCACTTCACCTACGCCTTCTGCATCGGCAACACCTTCTTCTACCACTCCGGGGTCTTCCACCGCCTGTTCGGCAAGCGGTCGTCCCGCATCACGCTGCGGGATATCTTCCTCGTCATCCTGGGCGTCATTTACCCTATGCTCGTCCTGTCGGTCATTGTCGCCACCGCCAACCACTACTGGCTCGACGCGGTGGTCGCCACCTTCTCGGTGGTCTTCTCGTTCTTCTGCAACCGCATCTGGATGATCCTCCTGCCGTTGGAGGATATGTTGCTGTGGGTGCTTCGGCTGGAGAAGCCGATCCCCACGACGGGAAGCCGGCGCCGCGGCGGGCCGACCGACGATGAGAACGGCCGGGACGGTATCGAGTACCGTCCACTATAATATATACGACCGATAGTCGGTCCGCCATAATAAATACGGCAATGAATCCGAGCGGTGAAAAATCTATGCTCATTGGCCAATAGAATTTAATTGTTTCAGACATGTTTACTGTGAATGTTGGTGTATGGCGAAGTTCCAAAGTAGACCGTTACCTGGTGAGATAGCCCCAAGATCAGTCCTGCTAGCATCATCACACCACCATGTTAGGTTCCACCCACATAACATATCACCTTCCGGCCCCCAGTGTGACACCCGGTATCTCCAATAATCCGTAATCTCGGCAATCCAGCAGGGATTCGAGTACCAATGAAACTCGGCCAGGACGCTAATCCAGCCCCTCCTACCCCGAACTCATGAATAGCAATAGCAATAGCAATAGCAATAGCAAACATTAGAGACATCCAACTCAATTTCGCCGCCCCCCCCCCCCCCCCCCCCCTCTCCCGGACTAACATTCCAGACCAATTTCCAATCATCCGTAAAATTGATTGGGGCGGCGACGACGGCAGTCAGCTAGCCGGTCACGCAGTCAGTCAGTGAACCAGTGAGCCAGTGAGCCTCAGTGCCGTACTGTCCCTACCTACTAGGTAAGGTACTGTACCTTCCAGGTTCGAGTCCTTAATCTCCACCACCGCCCGGCTCCCAGCTGATCTACGCAGTACGGAGGAGACTATTGGGTGGCACGGGACCGGACACATCCCCACCGCCATCTCCTGTCTGAAACCCAATTGCAAATCTGCCACCGGAAAAGAAAGCGGAGATTAAAGCATGTCGTTAGACTTTGTCTTCTTTGTTTCGTGAGTGAGAGGAGTTTTGGGGAACCCTAAGCGGGGAGTTTGCTTTCTTGATGCGGGATAGTTACGAGGTGTTACGGGTTGTCAATCACCGAGTCGACTAGACACATCTGCTGATCGTCTCTTGGGTACTGGACTTTTCTCTACGACCGCAGAATAAAATTGCATCCAAAAGTCAATGAGTTTTGTGTTCAATTTGGTCTGTCAAGGTATCGAAAATGGAGATCATGAGATTCACACTTAGTCAGAAGAATAGAAGTAGTCTGTCATGGGTCATGAGTCAATGGTCCTACCGCTGTGGAGGAAAGGAGTTCGTTTCAAAAGAGGGAGATCGTTGGGTTGCCAGCCCTAAGGGGAAAGAAAAGAAGTTGATCCGGGGTAGCGGTGGCGACTACCCGGAAGAAAAGAGGGTTTCAAGAACAGCACAAAAAGAAGGGAAGAGAAGAACGTAAAGATCTACTTGGTCCATGCCAGGGAGATCATAATTGATGGTGAAAGTGGTCACAATCTACGAGCAATAAGGAGAAGGGGTGGGGGTGGGGGTTGGCCCGGGGGTCGTGGTGGCTGGGAACGAGGAAGGGATGATGACACCGCCAGTGGCAGCACTGGCGACGCCGACGCGGTTGGCACCGAGGGTGTTGGTGGGACAGGCGGTGCGCAGGCCCTGCGACAGCGAGGCCAGGCCGACGGGGCCGAGCCGGTCGATGGTGGACGGGGCGGGCACGGTGCCGACGTAGGCGTTGAAGTTGTAGAGGCCGCAGATGCAGGTGTCGACGATGTCCTTGAGGCTGGTGTCGCTCATGATGTTCTGGCCGTTGCGCAGCAGGGCGAAGCGCTGCGGGCCGACGCCCATGGGCACGGTGAAGGCGCTGGCGCCGGCGGGCGCGCTGAAGCGGCGGCTGTTCTGGCCCGAGGCGACCTGCACCGTGGCGGGCGACTTGAGCAGCGCGACCACATACACCGCGTCCTCCATCGTCTCCCACCCGTTCGGCCGGCCGCGGAAAAAGTTGCCGCTCGAGTTGTTCGGGCTGCCCTCCATCGTGGTGTCGGTGTTGTCGCAACTGACCCCCTTCGGCGTCGGTCGGTACCAATAGATCAGCTTCTCCTCGCTGATGTACGGATCCACCGTCTTCGCCCCCGCCTTATAGGCCGCAATGAAGGGCTTGGACATCTGCAGCCAGCCGTCGTGTGGCCTATCACGTTGCAAAGCCGTTAGTGACCATCAAGGATCTGAAACAAGAATGTCCGAAAAACAGGGACCCAGGGACAAAAACTCACATGTCCATCACCCACTTAGAGGCGCCATCGTCGGTGTGGGGAGAAGACAAGGGACCAATGTAATGCGATTCTCCATAGTCATTCCAGGTGATGATCTCGACAAATCGAGGGCCAAGAGTCAGGATCTCCCGCCAGCGGTTGAACCAGAGCAGATCGCCAGGGAACACCCAATTTTTGCTGTAGGGCACTTCGCCGCCAAAGTGCGTGAAGAACCAACCAGAAGCAGCTGTGGTCATGAAAATTAGTTTTTGAGTCTTTTTTCAAGTCAGAGACCCAACTTACGAGCGATATACCCCTTCCCTCCAAGCGCCTTGGTGTATGATTGGTCTCCCTCGGTGACCGAGACATTGCGGCCGGCGCTTGGGGCCTTGTTGTCGCCATTGTTGTCCCACGCCATCCAGTTAAGCGCCCCATCGATCTTGCTGAAATCCCCCTGGCCCGGGTGGAAATTCGGCGCAAAGTACACATCCATCCCCGACGCCGCCTTCATCTGCTGGATGTCCAGGCCATCGCCCGCGAACGAGGAGACAAATACCTTGCCGTCCACCTTCAACTGCGCCGGCCGGTTCCCGTACTGCGCGACCTTCTGCCCCACCGTCGTGGCCTGCCCGGTGTTGTACCAGTTGAAGTCGAAGGAGATGAAGACCTTCATGTCGTTGCGGGCGGCGGACTCGTAGGCAAAGTTCAGCTGCGTGTCGGTGTAAGGGTCCACCCCGATGTTTAGCGCAAAGGCGTCAATCCCCAGCGCCTTTGCGCGTTTCATGTCGTCGTCATAATCAGCAGCACTATTCCGATTGCTGGTGATGCCGATCTATTTCATTGGTCAGTCCCAAGATTCAGTTTCCACGATCCCCTCGCAAAAGTGTTTCACCCACCATGAAGTGACAGAAAACGAGTTTGTCGTTCGCGGCGATGGTCGTGTTGGAATTGATGGGGGCACTGCTCGCCAGGGTAGCCAGCCCGGCAAGAGCATAGAATGGTAGCTTCCAGAGCTTCATCTTTGTGTAGATTGTGCAAGTAGAGTTGGAGAGAAGGAATGAATAGAAGATAATAAAGTACAGACACAGACTGTAGTAGTAGTGATGTAAAGGAATGTGAGCAGAGGATCAACCCCTTATACGGTCAAGAAAAGAAAGAACTGCAGAAGGAAGAAAGGAGAGTAGAGAAACGAAGAAGAAGAGGTGAGGTGAGGAAGGGAAGAACAAGAGCGCAGGCAGTATTTATTGAGGTTTGTCGCTGGAGGCAGTGGGCTGCATAGCCCGATTGAACCCTGAGTTTCAGGAACCGGCGGGTGGGAATCCTTCAAAGCCCCAACAAAGAATGCTCCAATCGTAAGACGAAATTCTCCTATCTGATGTCAGACGTGATGCTTTGATGATTTGCGCTTGTTCTCATCCACAAAATTGAGCTCCACCACGTTCATTTTATAGTGTCAGCGGTGATCATGGTCCGGCGAATAAAGCCAAGGGCCCCTCTCAAGAGATAGCATCATGGGGCTAAAAGAGCTCTCCCAACGGCGTTGGTCCTGTGAGACAACGAGTAACCGAAGCCATTGCACTGAATAGCATCAAGCAGTCCTTGTCATTTGCGCTGGAATGGTCGCAACTTGTCGCACTGAGAAGAGAGGATGGACCCTGGGACGGGGACGAACCCTGATCGATTCCCAAAAGGGCAATTCTGGGGCTCGCGATGCTACAGAAGCATCGCAGTCAACCGGTCTGTTACCGTCAGTGTGATCAATTGAGGGCATCTGATTTGAGTTTCGAGGATCGTCCAGCATCCAGCGTTGACTAGACAGATCCAACGGACGGGAAAGGGCAAGAGCCACCGATGAAGCCGAGCCTTCTCATAACCGTTGAAGACGGCTCAGAAGACGACGGTGAGGTGCTCTGCTTCCCCAGATGAGATAACACAAAACTAGCGGTGATAAAACTTGAGCTTGTGCCACCCAGGATTCAAGGCGAGTTGGCGGGTCTGATTGGTGCTGACAGTTTCCGACGTGATACAGACGGATGATCTTAATACTTCGAAACAAGCCAGCTGCGGGAAGCCAGTCACTCCGTCCAACGCTCTTCAAAAGCCTGGGCGCGCAGGCGCGCTGGCGGGTGCGTTGTTTGATGTGTGCGCGTTTTCAGCCCAATGCAACCCAGCGAGCACTGCATATATGCACCAAGAGCTGTGGGCTCTGACTTGCTTTTTCTTGCATCCCCGGCATGACATATGCGAGAGCTGCGGGGTAACATGGCTGGCATATCAGCCACGCGATGCCATCACCAGACAATCGGAACATATGCCAATCCGTTTGCCACTGATTTGAGAGGTTGTGGACGCCGTGAGATTTGCGTGCGATGCTACCGGGTTGAGGCTTTTGTGGTGTATCTCGATGTAGACGGGCTGACCTGCAGGGGGAGGGGGGTGTTGGAATGGGCTTACCCTAACCCCAACCCGCGAGACGTGTGTTACAAGGCACCATGTGACTATAATGTCGTTTGCTTCAACTTCCATGACTGGATATGCTCTACAGTCTGTCCTTGAGCATCAAGAGACCTGTTGGACATGAATCCATGACGGACGTTGGATATAACCCTCCGAGGTTTGACATCTTTCGCTTAGCAAGGACTGAAAGGCTTTCGTTCATCGAGGGTGCAACCTTAGCGACAACATTGGCACGAGAACCCAATCGCCTAAGACAGGTATGCGAGTTCGACTGGATGTGAGGTAATAGAAATGATCGAAAAAGATTTCTGCATACTGGAGGAAGGATATTTGCGAAAAAGTCGCTATGTGTGAAAGCGGTAGCATAATTCGGTGTAGTCGTGTTGGTGGACTGCCATCATTCATCACCGATTGTATCTCGCAGCCATCAAGTTTCTGTTGAGGAGATGGGGGTCTAAAGAAGAGGGAACAAAGGGAATCACAGAAAGAAAAAAGTCATTGCCAGGGGCTCCTGTCCCATACATGAAACCATTGATGTTATATGTTTCAAATGTGACAACGACATTTAAGAAGGAATGGTCTGATGATCAACAATGAGAAATAAGGGCAGACTAGAGTGAGGACTCAAGGACATATTTCTTAGTATGATACTTACTCCGTACAAAGAGATAGACTGTATACAGGTTACTCCCTACAGCAATCAACAATAAACAGGTCATATACTACCATGTGTGTGGTGCAAACCAAGCAAACCAGACAAACGCGCAGTCCCGGAAGAAAGAAAGTCCAGCGACCGCATTGTCTGAGGGGCGGGACGACAATTTCTCATTCTTGCGTTCACTTCATTCCGGACTCGAGAATACCCTCGGCGGTCCTTGATGTGCTTGCTTCCAGCGCCGCGCCTCGACAGTTCCCGGTTTTGTCGCCTGTTGACCGTTTTCCTCCGCAAGCAAAAAAAAAAAGTCAGTGCTCTTAGCCTTGGTTTATGTGGTTATGGTTATGTGGTTATGGGTTATGAGTCTAGAACACTCTCTTTCCCCCTTCCTTTGCTCCCACTCAGCGTCCTTGCCTGCCCTCTTCCCGCCCGTCCCCCCATTTGTTGTTCCCCGCTTTCCTTCTCCACTATTCAGTCGTTCAAGATCAGATAAGGATCTACCATGTATAAGCACGCGACCTACCATCACCATCACCATCATCCTCTCTCTCTCCCCTTCTCTCTTCTGCTTTGACTTTCGCCTTTCTACTATTCTACACCTTCATATCACTGAACCCAGCTGACCATGTGAGACAGTACCCTGACCGGCTCGGTGCCCGTCCGAGGGCATCAATATGCCTGCTGTCCATGGCGACTTAATAGGCACGGTGATTCCCACCGATAAAGAGCTGCCGCCGGATATTGTTCCGCGCCAGGTAACGCTCAGGGACCGCGTCACGGTTGCGACGCTCGTGCCCTTCACCTCGGCTGCGATGGTGCCCCGGTCCCTGCTGGCGTACCTGTCCGAGCAATTAAACAAGGAGATCGAAGGCGGTGACACTTATGCCATGATCGATCCCATCCCCCTGGAACAGTTCGGGTCGTATTGGTTCTCCAACTTCGGAGCTATTATGCTCCTGGGAGACATTAAGAGTGTGCAGGACGTCCAGACAATGGGCCGTCAGCGGGCCAATTGGGCCAAGATCTGCCTGGGTAGTTTCAACATCAGACCCAACTATCCGGGCCGTAGCAGTCATGTCTGCAACGGCATGTTCATTGTCACTGATGCGGCTCGCAACAAAGGTGTAGGTCGGCTGATGGGGGAAGGGTACCTTGAGTGGGCTCCTAAAATGGTCAGTATATACAGCACAGATCGGACTCCCAAGGCCAAATGGTTGGACGGTCACCCGAATCGGTTCATAAAGTTTCCTTGCGCCACTCCCCTTGCCCCCCCCCGGGGGGATGTGGGGGGTGGTGCGCGCTTGGCAGATACCTCATCCGTAGAAGTCTAACATTGAATAGGGATACACGTATGCTGTCTTTAACCTGGTCTACGAAAGTAATGTGGCGTCCTGCCGCCTGTGGGACGCTCTGGGCTTCAAGCGTATCGGGAGGGTTCCCGGAGGCGGGCGGCTGATGTCCAACCCAGGCCAGTATGTCGATGCCATCATCTACGGTCGCGATCTCGGTCCAGATGGAGAGGACTCGGCGACACAAGATCGGTTCGACAAGATCCGGTATTATCTCAAGCATTCCAAATATCCCCGAGGGGCAGACCGAGCGGAGAAGAGTCGGCTGCGGAGCGCCGCCACCCACTACAAGCTGATCGAGGACACGGACGGGACCGGCGAGAAGTTGATGCTCAAAGACAAGGAGGTCGTGTCGGATCCGCAGCAGCAGTACGACATTGCCCGTGAGATGCACCTGCAGCAGCATGCCGGCATCAACAAGACGACTGCCGCCATTGCTGTCAAGTATCACTGGGTTCGTATCAAGGAGACAGTCAGTCGAGTGATCCGGGATTGTCCACAGTGCAAAGAAACGCTCAAGCCAGCCATCGTGAACGGTTTCATGAACGAAAGCTCACCGGAGATGGACGACGAGATCGAGATCGAGGATGAGGAGAACGAGGAGATGGATGATGGCATGCACGTCAATCCCACTATACCGACCAGCACTCTCATGGGGGCACATGCACTCATGGACCACACGGCCGACCTGGATGCACACTCGGCCCAGAACCCATTCGTAACCACCCATCCTGGCGTTGTGCCGGGGACGGTGGACTCGATCACCGACTACACCGGCATGCCTCTTGACCCGCAAATCATCAACATCCACCAACAACTGCCCCGATTCCACCCACACGATCCCATTACCGACCCCTACACCCACGGTGCACATGCATTACATGGTACAAGTTTTGAAGACGAAGTGCGACATCACTCGACTCATGACTATCATATGATGGTCGATGACCCAACAGACCCCGATCCGTCGGCTGCACTTCATCAAAGCGCGCTGGGGCTGGTACCTTCGGCAGCGCATGACGTCCACCATGAACAGATCCTCGCGAAATATGATTATGTTGGACAACAGGACGACGAGCTGGACTTTGTATAGCATTGATGGAGTTCATAATCCATCGCATGATTGATTGTTACTCAGCATTATATAGACAGGCTAATGGATAGAGGATTGAATAGCATGGTTTTTGATATCTGTGGCTGCCTTGCCTAAATCACCTTATGCATGCCTGTCCTGTCCTTGACAAGGGTGTAACAGCGGAGGCATATAGAGCTCGATCAACAGCGCTAACTCAATAGCAGCACATCCCTAAGAAAATGCCGATAACTCTAATACAGTTCCAGCACGGGCCACCTTCGTCAACAACAATGTCCTGCTGGCGAACTTTTTGGACTGCCTCCAAAGTGTACGTTAACGTGGTTATGGATGAGGTGTTGCCCCTGTGAATGTAGAGACTTGCTTGACTCCTAGTTCTCTATCCTGTTCTAGTGAATAAGCCAGTCCTTAGGGAACAGCTGCTTCAAGCACTTCATCTTGGTCTAAGCGAAGTTGGTTACCTTCTCAGTTCTATGTCGTATTCACAGCCCCATTGTCCATTGACTATCCCATTGACTATTCAATACCTTGATGTTCATTCACAGGGTTGTCTGGGTTGTCATCCATGACTTCTAGTCCTGTCTTCTTCCCAACCACCCACTCTCCATGATCTTTCTTCCTCTCCCTCTCTCCCTCTCTCCATACTCCACAACTCAGGTTCCATCCATACCACATCTTCCAATATGACGCGATAAAACCTCTTTCCGAACATGAATTCTAATTACATATTACTGCACATATGAGCCTTGAGATATGATCTACATGCCTTTTTTACTCTGATATCTATGCAACCAAGCTACTCTTGGTGTTCATACCTCCCGAGGTAGCCGGATTGACCATTATCAAGCCTCTATAAGTGATGAGTATGGAACAACACCGTCTTCATGTGGGTCTCTTGTGATTCAAAGAGCCCTCACGAAACTGAAAAATGATGCCGCGATACTGGCCGCAAAAGCGTCGAGTATCTCAAATCAAAGGGCCGAAATCTGTCCCTTTAGATTTCCGCCCTATAAGAAAAAGCCCTAGGTCTCTCGCCCTGAGGAGCGAATTCGAATCCAGCTAATACAGGCGAACTTCAACGACGCTGTGATTTGAGAGACAGTTCAGAGCGCCGTGAGCTCGGGGAGCTGAGCGGATTGCCGCAACTGAACTGTGAACTGCGCAATTACAACCACAACCACTATGCCTGCAGCCCAACAAGTATGTAACCATCTTTCAATTACCTTTTCTGTTGCGCCCACGTGTCTGACGGAAACTTAGCAGATCATCGTGAATACGGTGACCGGGCCACTCCCGAGTTTTGTCTGCAACTCTCAGACTGAACGGGGGAAGATGTCGTGGACATCTCCGGGAATGAAAGAAAACGCCAGCCACGTTCAAATCGCCGTATTTCCTACCTCCACCTGCTTTGCAGTCCATTTATTGAACTTGCGTCTGGAATGTGTCTTCGATTTGCAGTATGTCACTTGAAGAGCCTCACTTCGCTCAGGGACATCTACTCCTAGCTATTCCGAACAACCAGCTGATTATACTATGGGTGCCACCTCCTCCGCCCACGATTTCCTTGCCCGAATTGAGCGCATCGAGCGTGACAATAGACTATCCCAATGATACGGTTCCTCCCGGCACCCTGCGCCCTGATAGCCCTGATCCGCTCAAATAACGGATGGGCTTTGCACGCCTTCAACAACTGGGGAGCACCCATACGGACTCTTTCGGAATACCATGTACTCGGGCAGAAATCTAACCTCAATTGGAGACTATGTCCGCGGAAGCACTGTTGCGCTGGCTAGTTTCGACCTGTTCATTGAATGCGATTCTCGCTTGGCTAAGGACGTGGAGAAATACGCATCCCATGAGCTCAATCATCTCCACCAGCAATGGGCTTGGAAGTCGTAAGAAGACACGAATCTAAGATCCTTCCAAAAACAGACGAGAAAGGAAAGTCAGCTTGCCTAGCTGCCAAGATGACCGTCTGACCTCCGTTAGCTCTAGCCGTAACCGTGAGAGCAGACGCTGAACTAGCGGACAAGGAGCGCCGTGAGCCGAAATATGATCAGAAAAGTAAAAGAAGCTCATCATCATGGTCCTGCATTTGGCTTAGCGAGACTGAAATTCTCAAGAGCCATGTCAAACATCTTCAAGAGGATGATGCATTCCGTCGAACTTTCAAAGGCTACTAAAGTTCCTAGCACTGCTCAGACATGCTAACTACATGTAAGTAACATGACCATACTGATGTTCTCTTCAAGCTAACGACAGCAGGGTGTGGTAGGTTGCGAAAGAAATCAAAATAATGCTAAAATATTGATTTAAGCGATCGTTACAACCCCCTTGGCTCGATTACAGGGATCCAAAGGAAGTCCTTCTTTCGGGAAACTCCGATTACACCATGTGGCATTGGCAGACCCGGGGCTATGGAGACGGCTCTTGTGGTTATCGAAGCAAAACGAACAGGTATTGCGGGTTTTCTTTTTCTTTTTCTTTTTTTTTTTTTTTTTTTTTTTTTTTTTTTGCAAACTTCTGCGTATACGGGTAGGTTATACTCTCCCCCGCCAGGGTAAAATGAAGCCGAAAAAAAGTACCGACAGGGAGGGGTCTGCCAGAGCCTGATGCACGAAGAAATGGTGGAAACCCTACCCGGATGATAATTGGGAAGTGGTTCAGACACGTTCACTATTATGCGTTCCCGCATAAGGGCGACTACAGTCAGGGCTTCGGCTCTTTGTGATCCCTGCCCATATGGGTGCGCGGGTGCTGCGGCCGCTGAATCTTGATCCCCGGTGTCCGCAGAAGGGGAATTGATTCCTCAAGGTGAAGCTCGAAGTGCTGTCGCTGACAGCCTGCTTCAGTATTGGGGTCTGGCTCAGTGCTGTGGAGCAGGTATGTGGCAGAGGGTGGTAATCTCAGGCCGACTAGTCATGGAAAAACAGTGGTCACGAAAGATGGGTTATCTTGCGAAGCCAGATAAAATGGTCTCAATGAAGCAAGAGCTTCGACAAGCTTGGCCAGGACTCAGCCAGTTCGCTTATTTTGCTCAGGTCTGCATGACAATATTTATACCTAGCTCACGGAAAAGATTATGCCACTGCTACCAAGACTACAGCGCCTGTACTGGGAAGATAAACCTGAATGAGTCCATTCCTTGAGCTACGGTTCAAGTTTCTTGCTATGTTGACTTAGGTTGTTAGGCTTTCTCGAGGTCCTTACAGAATGCTAGGTCGGTCTTGATATTCAGATCCAAGGCTCTCCAAAGCTATTAGGAACCCTTGTCCGGACTGATTCCCCACCCGATTAATCCTCTGCCCCTTACTCATGTTACGGCGATACTATTCAGAATATCATTCCCCGATTTTCTTCTCAGCCCTCACAAAACTTCCTGGCCCACGTTCCTCTTCAATGCAGTCTTTAAGAGCCAAGACACACTATGTGGCCTTTCTACCTTTGAGTAGGAGGTCGCACCGGCCATCCACCTGGAGGTAATGATGACCATAGCGGCTGGTTCTAGCGAGAACAAGTCGAGTTGGCCGGCAATGTCGATAGGACCCTTTCTTATGGGGACGGGGACGATGCGGCGAAGCACTTGGTAGCCATTGAGGCAGCGGTCGTGCAGAAGTGCCGCAAAGATGCCGGGCAATCGGTCCGGTCCCTCTATGTATGAACTGCTACCAGAATTACTACTTATCGGCTTAAAGTCCCTACTGTCTACAACACATACGCCTGCCATATTCTAAGCCACCTACTCCTTCATTAGCTGCCTCCAAGCCACGGAATTCTGGATACGGTTCAGGACACTATGTTGACCACGCACGATTCAGCCTTTGGGACTACTGATTGGGAACCTTTCAGAGTCCTGGTCCTCAGGGAAGGAAGTGGATGATCCGTTTGATTCAATGCTGGCCGACTTACTCTTGCGGAGGACTAGCCAGTTCTTTTCGATGACTGTAACTTGACTTTTTCGTGACAGTTGGACAGGCCACTTGCCAGGCCCCCAGTTGACGCCGTCCCGGTATGTCTGTCACAGAGACAGCCTTTTTCATTACCGAGGGCCAGCACCGAGAGTAAGCCGATTCGAAAGCATGAATCTACACCCCCAAGATCAAACTCAATCGGGGCCCTGGTACAACTGCTGCTGCTTCATAAGGGGTTGTCATGCCTCTGTCCTTCTGCCCCTAAATGGACCCCAGACGACCGATCCTACCACCATCCCGCCGAACTATACTGCTCTAGTTAGCATCAATGTTTCAAAATATTTGAGTCCCGATGAGTTGAAGCTGCTCAGCCAGTGGATTCGCAATTTGCCTCTGTTTACCGGTCTGGCATTAGACAGCGTCTATCCCACCACGTCCATGTGTACCATTATGCAGTCTGCTCTATCCGTATATGCAAAGCTGCACAATGTCAAATGGCATAGTCTGATAGCATAGCTGAGAACATAGGTCCACCTGTCGATACTGACTGTCTTATCCGTGCTGGTCGATCCTCTTCCACACCCAAGAAGGAAAATATGCCCTTCACAAGGGCGAAACGATGAAGCTTTAATATATTGATCTTGGTTTACTTGAAATGCACTCCTGACCCACTATCTTTGAAACTGCTTTTCATCATATGGCCAATGGTACATACTCGAAGATTTACACCTTGAGATATACTGCGAGAATGAAGCACTCGCAAAAGCGTCGCTTGTTATGATCTTTACTGTGGATAAAGAATTGGCACTGCAAAAGCTTCTGTCCCAGCAACAGGCACAATCTTCAAAGCTACAATCCTATAAGTTACATTCTTCCACATCCGACCGAGCTCCAACACTACTCTATTCTCAGTTATTGCACCGGAGAACTTCGCTACTGTCCACTTCTATTCTACCCTGCTAATGGGAAACCTACGCAAGAGACAGAAGGAAGCCCGTTATGAGCTTCTAGATTATCCGCAAGCTGTTAGGCGGAGCAAATTGTGGGATGGGGCATCTTGATCCAGACTTGAATGCCAGTACTATCATTATCAAGTTTCTCCTCATTCTAGCTTTGCGGCATGACATCGTCCACAGCTAGACTCTTGAAACGGTGAGAACGCATACCAACTATC